GTTCAAAATCGTGTTGTCAGTATTTTCAGTGATCCCATTAAATAACCCTATGTCATTATGTTTCAATCCTCCAACACAAGATATTTATAAACAACACATTGTATGGTGCAGTCAAGCAAACAGATTTATGTAAAGGTTGTCACAGGTCACATGATATGTGTATTTCTTAAACTTCAGTGAAAAGGCTGGTATATCTAATACAATGATGTGATCGACCCACATGAAATAATCCACCGACAGCAAACTGTCCTCGGCCATCTCTGTTCAAAACAACACATGGTGACGGACAACATCTACAATTGATGATAGCTAAAGCTGGAATTGATGTTGGTGATCTTTTAACAAACAGTGTTATGATTTTGTAAATAGGCTAATTTCAAAGCCTGTATTAAGTCAAACACAGAAGAGAAAAAGAAGAAATCTAACTGTTGTAAAACCATTTTACCAAATATTGTCAAAATTGTCTATGTCCAGAAAGGTATGAGTTAGATGATGGCATTTCTAAGGCTGGAAAAGTTACAAAAAAGTACATTGATAAATTCAAAGAATTAAATCTAATTGGTAATGAAAATTTATAATTTTGTTTCATCATTTCTCATGTGTGCTAAAAGGTACTTTGAATGTACAGAGTAGTTATGTAAATTAATTTAATCAACGACCTTTCAGTGGAAGACTGTTATACCTATCTCAATGTAACTGATTTATACCTGATGTGACACTAAGTAAGGTGGCTGTAGTGTGTTTTCTGTATCATTGCTATATTGATGTAATGTTTTTGATACACACAGAGGTATATCTATCCTTCTGTCACAATTACAAACTCCAGTTAACTTAGTGATGGTGGTGTGTTGTTAGATAACAGGGATATATACTGCCTTGATACCTGAGTTACACCTGATCTGGTAGGAATGACCTGAGGAGGACACACCATAGCGCTGTAAGTAGCTTGTAGGAGACCACCAGGCAGCTGAGTGGTCATCATTTGAAGAGATGATATTTCAAGCCATATTTAGAGTATCTTTAAGCTGAACAGACAACTTTGCTTGTGTTGATCTGTTTGTCATCTGTAGATTTTTGAATGCTACCTTTGTTTTTATTTGTTGATAAACATGTTGTAAGTGGTTATTTGTGGTAGATTAGCTGATAATAACAAACTTCTTTCTGTTGATTGTAATGGTGGTTAACAGAGTGACAAAACAGACTTATTGTGAAGGTAGGCATTTGACGGCATACATACACAGTACAATGTCAATGTGTATTTCCAGCTTAATTAAACCAAAGCCAGCTTAAGAAAAGGTACTATGATATTAACTGTATACATACGCTGATATTTCACAGAGATTTCGCATTTTACATATACAAACAAAAACCATGATAATTGTATATAGATGTGTGGGACTTTGATCATCACATTAGCACAATCAATTAACGAAAAGGATAATCATATATAAATCTAGATTATATCATTTTCATTAAATATTGACATTTAAATTTTTTGTGTTTTTGAAAAATTACTCTATTGACATTAATTACTTTCCAGATCTTAGTCAGCCTTAGCGTTTCATTCTCATTTACACATTTTTTCTTGTGATACATACATATATATAGAAAATCATCAATGCTATTTTATGGAATTAAATTTGTCTTGTGATTGTATTGTATTGTAATTGCAATCAATTTTAACATTAATGAGAAAAGAAAGAGATAAAGAAGGATTTTGAGGGGTCAAACTTAAAAAAATTTAAAAAAAAAAAGAAAGGAAATCAGACTATTTCGATTAAACCTTGTTCATTTAGACGATGCTGTAGTTAAAATGTATCAAAATTTGAATAAATTTTGGGATTATAATGTGAGTGAAGATTTTACTTGACAGACATGAAAAACTGATGTATCATGATCAGTGATCCCTTTAGGGAGGGTTATATTTATTTAATGGTGTACTTGTTGTATAAATAGATCTTCCGTAGATCTTCACTGTAAATATCACGATCCCATTACTAAATATCATTTATACAAGTTAATGGCTGCTGGATTTACATGTGTATTGCAAAATCATAACCCTGTACCCAGTGTCCCATTGAGATATATTTTCAGATCTACATCCTGGTTCAGTTGTCATTCATTGACATGATTTCACATCATACCACTAAACTTCTCATTTTACAAAAGGATGTCAGTATATATATACTGTATAAAGTAAGATATTCATGTGTGTTATGTATCTGGGTTGGGGATTATTGTCACCAGCACATTCAATTAACACAAAGCTATATATGTAGATTGAATTGATATAATTTTAAGGGATTTTCAATTCTGATTAATGTGAATATCACTCAAAAAACATCTTATAATACTAAATATAGTCTACTTTTATAGAAAATCTGATGTATCAAAAATTTGTGATCTTTCATGAAGTCAATTTTCAGTATAAGGGTATATTATATATACCAGAACATATTGTGAGCAGACATCTTTTTTCTTTTATTTGTAGATTTTTATTGATTCGTCATTAGGGTTAGGGTTAGGTTAAAGAAAGTGATAGTTCTACAATACTCAAAACATTTTTCTTGATCTCTTAAACTGGAGGTCAAACAGGAATGTATGACAGACAATGGCAGTACATTTGATAAGAACCTATGCTTGCTGAAATCATTCTCTTTTATCACTGGCTTGTAGCAATGCTTTTGGGAGATGAGGGCCTGTATGGTATACAATCACAGGGGCCTGTAGCAATGTTTTTGGGAGATGAGGGCCTGTATGGTATACAATCACAGGGGCCTGTAGCTATGTTTTTGGGAGATGAGGGCCTATATTGTATACTATCACATGTGATGATGACTGACTTAACTACAGATGATGTCTATCATGACCACTGATGACTGCATGTACATATAAGGTTTTACCACAGTGCTATAGACTCTCTTGTTTATTTCTCCTTTGTGGCTGTACATATAGTGATTAGATCCCACACATTATCACCCACATGTTCAAAAATTTTCCATTAATTTGACATGATTTGCCACTGTTACACTCCTGTAGCTTCCTGTTTGTTTGACGTCTGTGTCTGACAGATGTCCTTATAAGAAGCTGCAGCTAGGGCTGGTCAGTTTTATACAGCGTATAACTGTGTAGGCTGGTACAATATAATTATCAGTCATTTTACTGATACGTAATTATCTCTCTATCAAATGTGTGTGGTCATGTGGTAAATAAGTACCCACAGGTTGACTTCTCTCATCACTCAGCCATGATAAAGGTTGGTCAGTTTACGTATTCTTACTGCATAAGATATGGACACAGTTAACAAAACGTTGAATATAAAATGATAGCAAATATGAAACTGGATCGCATCATGGATGTCACATGTATCAGATATTGAATTTTTAACCAAGTTCATGTTAAAAAGCTTTGTATAGTTGGTGCTAAACCAACATATATAAGTGATATAATTCATGGTTTTTTTCTCTGTACAAAATATCTCTTTAATGTAAACAAATACTTATGCCTGCCTTGTTCCTGAAGAGACTGTTTCAGTCTTGGGGAATCATATCCGCAAATGTATTTGTCTTGATGGAAGCATTAGATAGAAATTTCACATGTTTAATGTTTCTGAAGAGGAATTGCTCTTTCACATGATTTACTATCACTATCCATATGATCTTGTCTTAGACCATCAAAAGTCATTGAAAGAATAGGGAGCGTATAATTACAAGGATCTGTTTTAGATGACCTATAGTGTGGCTTCATCAAATCAGATGCATTCTCAATGCAAAACAGCTTTGAAATAATTTCTTAATTCGAAAGTTTATGAAATACGAGAATGTCTTGTAACACAAATATATAGTTGTACGAGGGAGCAGATCTTAAGTCTTGATAGTACAGTTTTGTTGCCCATCCTTAAATCATACTATTCTGATGGAACCAGGGAATTAAAGTCAAAGGAACAACTTCTATTTATAATTCATTTACATATGGCAACCTTTGCCAAAGTTTGATTTTGATGTTTTGCCCATTAAACAAACAGTTGAAATAGTTGTTTGTATGTACACTGTATCTATAATTGGGCTTTAACAAAGGTGAAGGTTTTATGAAAGGTTGAAAGAAACTCAGGGCAAATGCTTGCCCTCCATACACTATTTTTTGAAAAAAGTTTGTACCTCATGGAAACAGTACATCAGATCAGCAAACGTATACAAATTGGCCTGATAATGTGATATATCCTGAAGTATATGCAGTATCGTTTAAATAAGAGACACCTGCCAATGCAGGGACAGTGCTAGTTAAGTAGGTAGAAGATCCAAAATGTGTGGTTAGATAGTCCCTGTGGTGCTATGTGTTTGAGAAGCTGAGAAACAGCTAGACTGGTCTGTCATGGATCTGTCATGGGACAAGGCATTTTACTCTAATTGTTCTGGAGGGCATGGCCTGGCATTTCACATGTTGATCAGTGAGGTAACTAACAGCTTATTCAAGCAGATCCCCCCAAAAATAACCTTGACTCTTCAAAGGGCAATAACTCCAGGAAACCAACAATTAACAGATGTAGATATTGATAATATTCTCAAAACATTTTTATATGCGATTTATTTTTGGAGTCCTCTGATATTTCTGTACCTGGTCCTTAGAAAGAGCCTAATTATCGCCAGCAGACAAAGGACTTATTAAGTTACAGACTAAAACATAAAACTGTAGAGCAGTGGTTATTGCTGAGATTGTTAAACTGTTGACAGGAATGTGTCTTAATTGCCTTTCAGATTGATCTGATGATAACAGATATACATGGTATTGAAGCCTTGTACACTCTGTGGTAGATCAAAAGATACAGAAAATGAATTAGAAATAAGTCTGCATAATGTGTACACGTAAGAATTTAACGAGGGCTGAAAGCCTTCACACATTTTAAAATACCTTTTTATCCAATGGTTTTCGCACCTGTCTGTGATTGGTGTGGATTTTGTTCTCTACAGAATTATTGAATTGTTAATTTATGTTTCTTTCAGAATTAACCTGAGCAGTCCACAACAGTCAACATGAACAATATGAATATGTCAATGGGAACCACATCCATGTCCGGCATGGGAGACAAGATGACCGGCATGACCGGCATGACAGGCATGGGAGGCATGGGAGGCATGGGAGACACGGGAAACGGTATGGGTGGTATGCACATGGGCGGTATGCCTGGAGGTATGCCAGGAATGATGGTGAGTACTACCAATGTCAGTCATGGGGGAGGGTGTGAGTGGTGTGGACATGGGCGGTATGCCTGGAGGTATGGGAGGCATGATGATGAGTACTACCAATGTCAATTATGGGGGAGTGCATGATTTTATAGATTAGAGCCCCACTGTTAGAGTCTGGCTTGTAGGTCCTTCTTTTAAGAAACTACTTTGATTTGATCACATGCCTATTAATATGGATACAGTCATCCTTGTTCAGTTGAGACTTGAGAGAAAATGAATACCTTCTGTTATAGTGATATTCAGTGATAATTACACATTTCATATTACTTAGATAAAAAAAAAACTTCAAAAACGTTTAACTATACTGGACAGATTTGTGATATGTTATACTGTTATCTATCTACCCATTTCCTAATCTACAAACGTACTGATAGTACTCTTAAAGTAGGTATGACTAAATAAGGAATTCCTGTGTCTACAGAGTCATTGAAAGCCTGTATATGTTGTTGACAGGATACATCCAGAATTACGATTGTTATTTATTGGTCTTGGAGTGTCTTTACTCCAGGATCACTATTTTATCACTTTTAGTGAGTACTCTGTTTACAACAAGCCTCCACTGTAGATCCTGAACAAATTTTACTGAAGTAATTAAAGCATTGGAGAGACAATATGTCTCCACCTCCCTGAATTTTTTTGTTATTTAGTCAAATATTGACAAAGAGATATTTAAACAACTTAGAGCAGATTATAGATTTTATTACACAATATTAGAACAGAAAATTAAAGATTGTATAACACAAGATTAGATCAAGGAATGACAAAATTATGTTGTCTTACACTAGTTTCAATAATTCAAATCTTATTCATGTACATTTCTCAGTGTATACAGTATACATAATTACATACATCGTACAGAGGAATAAACAGTGATATTGACTTAACAATATCAATCTGTACAGTAACGGCTTGATATACTTCTCCCGTCTACATGTCACAGGTCACAATTCCCGTTCTGTAGTATCAAATCATTTATAGTGTAAACTGACCTCACATTCCATAGTTACTGACAAAAGAATAATAAATCTATAGAGAGTTCATTTAAATAAATTTACATAAATTGTTTTAGCTCATTATCATAGATTATTAAAAGTGATTGTTGTCATGATCTGATGTTATACACATAGTAAATAGCTCTGTCCAATTACAGGTGTGGACACAAAAAATGGCCTAATATAGATGTGGGTTTTAGACTGATGTAGAGATAATTATTGATGTGGGTATCAGACTTTTACAAAAACATATACAGGTGTAGGTATCAGTCTTATACAAAGGTAATTACAGGTGTGGGTGTCAGTCTTATCCAAAGGTAATTACAGGTGTGGGTGTCAGTCTTATACAAAGGTAATTACAGGTGTGGGTGTCAGTCTTATACAAAGGTAATTACAGGTGTGGGTGTCAGTCTTATACAAAGGTAATTACAGGTGTAGGTGTCAGTCTTATACAAAGGTAATTACAGGTGTGGGTGTCAGACTTATACAAAGGTAATTACAGGTGTGGGTGTCAGACTTATACAAAGGTAATTACAGGTGTCAGTGTCAGACTTATACAAAGGTAATTACAGGTGTAGGTGGCAGTCTTATACAAAGGTAATTACAGGTGTAGGTGGCAGTCTTATACAAAGGTAATTACAGGTGTGGGTGTCAGTCTTATACAAAGGTAATTACAGGTGTGGGTGTCAGACTTATACAAAGATAATTACAGGTGTGGGTGTCAGTCTTATACAAAGGTAATTACAGGTGTAGGTATCAGTCTTATACAAAGATAATTACAGGTGTGGGTGTCAGTCTTATACAAAGGTAATTACAGGTGTGGGTGTCAGTCTTATACAAAGGTAATTACAGGTGTGGGTGTCAGTCAGGTACAGCAATAAAGATAGAGATAATTACAGGTGTGGGTGTCAGTCTTATACAAAGGTAATTACAGGTGTGGGTGTCAGTCTTATACAAATGTAATTACAGGTATGGGTGTCAGTCTTATACAAAGGTAATTACAGGTATGGGTGTCAGTCTTATACAAAGGTATTTACAGGTGTGGGTGTCAGTCTTATACAAAGGTAATTACAGGTGTGGGTGTCAGACTTATACAAAGGTAATTACAGGTGTGGGTGTCAGACTTATACAAAGGTAATTACAGGTGTGGATGTCAGACTTATACAGCAATAAAGATAGAGATAATTACATTGGTGGGTGTCAGTCTTATACAAAGGTAATTACAGGTGTGGGTGTCAGTCTTATACAAATGTAATTACAGGTATGGGTGTCAGTCTTATACAAAGGTAATTACAGGTATGGTCTTATACAAAGGTAATTACAGGTGTGTACAAAGTGTCAGTCTTATACAAAGGTATTTACAGGTGTGGGTGTCAGTCTTATACAAATGTAATTACAGGTATGGGTGTCAGTCTTATACAAAGGTAATTACAAGTGTGGGTGTCAGTCTTATACAAAGATAATTACAGGTATGGGTGTCAGTCTTATACAAAGGTAATTACAAGTGTGGGTGTCAGTCTTATACAAAGATAATTACAGGTGTGGGTGTCAGTCTTATACAAAGGTAATTACAGGTGTGGGTGTCAGTCTTATACAAAGATAATTACAGGTATGGGTGTGAGTCTTATACAAAGATAATTACAGGTGTGGGTGTCAGACTTATACAAAGGTAATTACAGGTGTGGATGTCAGACTTATACAGCAATAAAGATAGAGATAATTACATGGTTGGGTGTCAGTCTTATACAAAGGTAATTACAAGTGTGGGTGTCAGTCTTATACAAAGGTAATTACAGGCGTGGGTGTCAGACTTATACAAAGGTAATTACAGGTATGAGTGTCAGTCTGATACAAAGATGATTACAGGTGTTGATGTCAAACTTATAGAAAGAAAATTATTGGATAATTACAGGTGTGGGTGTCAGACTTATACAGGGAAAATTACAGGATTATCACAGGTATAGATTTTAGATGTATACAGGGATAATTACAGGTGTGAGTGTAAGACTTATTAAGTCACAGACATCCTATTAAAATGCTGATTTCTGATTGATTTGACTATTTGTGTCTCTGATTGTAGTTTTTGACTCATTAGAATAATTCTTTTTTCAGCAAATGTACTTCCACACTGGGGTAAAGGAGTACATCTTGTTTGAGACATTGCTCACCTCTACAGCTGGAGGTCAGTTTATAACCTTCATTCACTATTTGCTTAAGATATTAATATCTTCTGTGATATCAATGATAGAATTTCTCCCTTTTGGCTGTGTTGGACATATTGCTGACATTATGGCAATCTATACAGAAAAAAATCTATCAGGGTTTTTTTTATGAGATCATTCAATTTCACTAATAAATAATTTAGAAAGTTAAGGATATTTTGAGATCATTATGTAACATTTATACAAAAATAGGAAAATTAGCCCTGTTAATTTCATTATAATTCTTTTTCACAACTTTCTGCTTAGTGTTCTGTGGTTGATTTAACATACAGTTTTGGTTTTGTAAATGAAGTGATTTCACACTTGAGCGTTGTAACAAACAATGACTTATCTTAACGCTTATATAAGGAGAAGTGTAAGACGATTTGTAATTCTTTTGATTATATATATTGACACTTCCAGATATGGGCGGAGCTTGTGTGGCAATATTTTTCCTGGCAGTACTCTACGAGGGCCTGAAGGTGCTTAGAGAGCACTTACTTAGGAAAAGTCTGACCACCAACAGATACAGCAGTGTCACTGCGACAGGAAATGGCTTCTCTCAAGACACTTCTGTCATAGATCCTAGCAAATCAAAAAACAACAGGTAGGTACTTTATCTTATCTATCACACCTGTTTCTGACCAAATTTGTTGTTGATGTTGATTATTTCAGTGCATTGCTGTCTTTGAATGGAGTGAAATGTTTATTGTGTTTGCAATTTGAGATTGGATGGGGTGGGGATATTGTTTTGTCAGGTCTGTCCATCTGTCCGTTAGTCAAATTGCGATTAAACCCTGGCAATGTTAGGTAGGATGAGGAGGTGATATTGTTTAGTCAGGTCTGTCCATCTGTCCGTCAGTCAAATTGTGATTAAATCCTCGCTATGTTAGGTAGGATGGAGAGGTGATATTGTTTAGTGAGGTCTGTCCATCTATCCATCTGTCTAACTGTTGTACCTCTGCTATGTAATGTTAAGGAGGATGGGGAGGGGATATAAGTTTTGAGAGGTCTGTCCATTTGTCTGTCAATCTAATTGTTATAACCCTGCTATGTTCTGTAGGATGGGGAGGAGATATAGATTTGAGAGGTCTGTCCATCTGCTATGTATGATCGGATAAAGAGGCAATATTGTTTTGTCAGATCTGTCCATCTGTTTGTCAGTCTAAATATTACATCCCAGCTATGTTAGGAAGGGGTGGGTATTATTTTGATTCATATTTACCCAATAGTATCATAACATCAAGTTATACATCCTATATTAATTTGGTCATTGTTCAAGGTTAAAAGATCCAAGGTTACATTTTGCTTGGGAGTGGAAGGGAAAATGTCTTATAGTATACATGTACCTTGGATGCATTTGAATGTATGATTTAACAAAGGTCAAGGTCACTGTTACTAGAATCCTTAGTTTGACTGTTCCACCATTCAGTATTGTAATCAATCTACCTTAGACAAGTCTTGATATCCATTTGATAAATTAAAGGTCAAGGTCACATACTATAGAATTTAACCATTGCTGTATACTGTGTATGGTGTTTAACATGTATTGCCCACAAGTTCTAAAATGGACGTCTAGGTCAAATGGCTTGGTCATATGCTTAAAAAAGCTATTTTCACTTTCATTTTCAAAATTCATAGCTTTAAAGTGGTCTGTACATGAGAAAAAAATCAAAGTCCTCAACTGGAGACCAAAAATGCAGAATCTGTTTGGTAATTGTGATTTGTGTAACACCTTGATACAGACTTGAAAAGATAATCACAAGCTCTCGCCTGAAACGTGCAATAAATTTTCCAGCCTCTATTAGATATATATAAGTTGCCACCTGGTGCTACAGTGAAATAACTCAGAAGCAAAAAAAAACTATATTCTTCCTTTTGAGGATAAGGAGAAAGAGAAGGATTTAAAATGCACATGTTGCAAAATGGATATGTATTATATACATCAATACATTGTATTGACATTGGCTTAAATACTTAGAACATGGTGCTTATACAAATAATATTATCATTAGGTTTAAACAGCTTCTGATATTCAATGGTTTGTCCAACTGTTACCAGATACCGCTACTTAAAACCTGACCACGCATAAAACTAGGTGTCTCTTTATGTATCTGTAAAATAAAACCATTTTATATACAGTTTACTTTAAGAAATGTCTCAAGACTGGCTACTTTTAAGCTTACCTGGTCTAAAGGGATAACTGAATGCATTATCTGCTGCTTTGCTGAACCTTCTTGAAAAGGTGACGAAATTGCATGCCTTTCTCTGAGGAGGTGGTGACACTACCTTCCTTTTTTTGAGGAGGTGGTGATACTACTACCTGCCTTTGTTTGAGGAGGTGGTGATACTACTACCTACCTTTGTTTGAGGAGGTGGTGATACTACTACCTACCGTTGTTTGAGGAGGTGGTGATACTACTACCTGCCTTTGTTTGAGGAGGTGATGACACTACCTACCTTTGTTTGAGGAGGTGGTGACACTACCTACCTTTGTTTGAGGAGGTGGTGAAACTGCATACCTTTGTTTGAGGGGGTGGTGACACTACCTACCTTTGTTTGAGGAGGTTGTGAAACTGCATACCTTTCTCTGAGGAGGAGGGGGTGATACTATATGCCTCTATCTGATTTTAGAATTACATTCTGTCACCTAAATACTGGTAAATGTATTCATAGAAAAAAAATACATATTTACATAACTGTAAATGTATCTGCATAATTGATGTTTAAAGATAAAGGAACAATTTCAAACTATATAAGTTAGTATATGTAGAAACAGGGCCCTGTTGATTGTTGAATATGATAAAATATTTACGGTAACTCACCTATCCTTGCAGAATTTTAAGGAATTCTATTAAAATGACATGACCTTTGTGTTATATGTATATATAAGTAGAGTGAAAACAATTCCTGATCATGGAGTATGTTGTCTTCCTATCAACATACAGAAACAGAAAAAAAAATCCATCATGTCAACACAGTCTTTATTCAAACTTGAAATTTGATGAAACCAGGGCAAAATATGTATAAAAACTGGAAAAAGATTTATACAGAGAACTTTAAAAAAGGAGAATAAAACCAGGCATTTCAGAAGAGTTAATGGGTCTTTCACAACACCTACTATGTAATTTTTTTGTCAATCCAGGAAATATTGTCATATCCTCAAATAAGAACAAGGTAAATAACAACAGAACCACCAGGCATACTAACAAGCATCAAGTGTCAAGGACCGTTTTTAAAAAAGAAGGACATGTTTCTTTCGTAATGACATGCATATAGTTGGAGTCTAGACTACTAAATTTCTGTACACATTTATAAACTTCCACATGGTTACCCTGTCAAGATTTGCGTTGTTTGGAGATCTTTGAAACAAAATCAAGAAGTTGTTCATTGTTACAATTGAGGTTAATCAGACTGGTTGTTATTAGTCCTTGGTCATATAGGCTGTAGAAATCGTATTTACAGGTATATAGCAAATTAGTCCCTGGTGTAGAAAGATCTTATTTCATTGATATTTTACATTTACTTACAGAGAAAATTTCAATAATCCTTCATCACCACCTCATCAAAAGCAAAATGGAGGTGTTTGGTAATTCATTTATATGTCCAAATGGTTTTGGGTTACCCTAGTTTGTATACTTGTGGTCTATGTAGCCTGCTGGAGAAATACATCTGTGAGACACTGTGTTCTCTAGTAGTGTAGACATTTTAGGATTTTACACTAATGTTACATGGTTGTTTAGGATTCAACTTTCACAATCAACTTGGTTGAATGATAAATACCATCACAACTCTGGATATTTCTAAAGGTTTTAATCACTAAATTCTTAAAAGTATTTCCTAAGTTGAAATTTCTTTAAAGGTAACATGTTCTTAAATGAAATATAAATTGAGACCAGATGAATGCAATGATATATACGTGTATCTTCCTATAAAACATGACTAAGAAAATTTTATTGTAATCAAATTTTCTACTGATGGATGTTAGATGGATATTGAATGGATATATATATATATCATATGTATGTTTATGTGCTAAAAGTTAATGGGTAGCCAGTTATCTTAGGAAAGAGTTATCTGCAGAAAAAATCATTGCATGTAATTCAAAGGTACATAGTTTGAGTGTAATTGAATTACATGCATATTTGCCTTTATGTTATGTATCGGTATTAATTTAAGTGAGTAAGAAAAGATGGCATTTCTCCAGAATATAGGCTTTGATGATGACCACATGGAAGATAAACATATGACATGCTTTTAATGCACTTAATCTGCTAGTTTTTATACCACCAAACAGACGATAGTCCTTTACCTTGCTTGTTCTCCCATGCTTCATTCTGCTACAGTTCTAAATATAGTCAGTTAGTTCCTGCCAGTGTTATCCTTGATGATAACTGAGTTTTGAACCTTTAGAACACAATATACAGTCAAACTTGTTTATAAAGACCACTGAAAGGTACAGAAAATAGTGGATAGACAGGCTGAAGAGATGCTATTACTACAAATTGTACTACATTAGAACCCACACAGTCCTTGTAGAAAGATGGTCTATATTTTGAGGAGTGAATAGTCAGGGTGTAGAGATAATATTACTTCAAATTGTACTACATTAGAACCCACACGGTCCTTGTAGAAAGATGGTCTATATTTTGAGGAGTGAATAGTCAGGGTGTAGAGATAATATTACTTCAAAGTGTACTATATTAGAACCCACACAGTCCTTGTAGAAAGATGGTCTATATTTTGAGGAGAGAATAGGCAGGGTGAAGAGATGATACTACTACAAATTGTACTATATTAGAATCCACACAGTCCTTGTAGAAAGATGGTCTATATTTTGAGGAGAGAATAGTCAGGGTGTAGAGATGATATTACTACAAACTGTACTATATTAAAACCCACACAGTCCTTGCAAAAGGTGGTCTATATTTTGAGGTACCGGTATGTAGCCTTTAAGACAGCTTTGACTGTATAGTGTTTTGTTTTATTTGTTGTTTGTTTCTTTTTTGAAGCTATAACCTTCAGGAACAAAGAACATTACGCAAGTATGCAAATTTGTCTTGTGTCAATGTTGTAATTATATATATACTAATGATTTCAGCACAGGGTATTACGAGTGTATTCTATAGCAAACAAGAATTACTTTTCACATTTAACTTAACACCTTGAATATTAAATTTGGAAGACTACATGTCATTATAAAGATACGGCAATTGATCTATCTGTGTTTTGCAAAGGAATATCAACTCACTTCAGTAATAATGACAAAAACATTCAATATATAAATGAAAGGTGAATGTGATAGGTTGTTCTGTTTGGCCTTAAACAGAAATGCCTGTACTCTTGTATGTTTGACAGTAGCTATGTTTATTACAATGAACACTGTATCTAACATTTGTTTTGTTCTGTTTACTACAATGAACACGGCATCTAACATTTGTATTGTTCTGTTTACTACAATGAACACGGCATCTAACTATTGTATTGTTCTGTTTACTACAATGAACACTGCATCTAACATTTGTATTGTTCTGTTTACTACAATGAACACGGCATCTAACTATTGTATTGTTCTGTTTACTACAATGAACACGGCATCTAACTATTGTATTGTTCTGTTTACTACAATGAACACTGCATCTAACATTTGTATTGTTCTGTTTACTACAATGAACACGGCATCTAACTATTGTATTGTTCTGTTTACTACAATGAACACGGCATCTAACTATTGTATTGTTCTGTTTACTACAATGAACACTGCATCTAAATATTGTATTGTTCTGTTTACTACAATGAACACTACATCTAACATTTATATTGTTCTGTTCACCACAATGAACACTGCATCTAACTATTGTATTCTGTTTACTACAATGAACACTGCATCTAACATTTGTATTGTTCTGTTTACTACAATGAACACGGCATCTAAATATTGTATTGTTCTGTTTACTACAATGAACACTGCATCTAACTATTGTATTGTTCTGTTTACTACAATGAACACTGCATCTAACATTTGTATTGTTCTGTTTACTGCAATGAACACTGCATCTAACTATTGTATTGTTCTGTTTACTGCAATGAACACTGCATCTAACTATTGTATTGTTCTGTTTACTACAATGAACACTGCATCTAACTATTGTATTGTTCTGTTTACTACAATGAACACTGCATCTAACATTTGTATTGTTCTGTTTACTACAATGAACACTGCATCTAACTATTGTATTGTTCTGTTTACTACAATGAACACTGCATCTAACATTTGTATTGTTCTGTTCACCACAATGAACACTGCATCTAACATTTGTATTGTTCTGTTTACTACAATGAACACTGTATCTAACATTTGTATTGTTCTGTTTACTACAATGAACACGGCATCTAACTATTGTATTGTTCTGTTTACTACAATGAACACGGCATCTAACATTTGTATTGTTCTGTTCACCACAATGAACTCTGCATCTAACTATTGTATTGTTCTGTTTACTACAATGAACACGGCATCTAACATTTGTATTGTTCTGTTCACCACAATGAACTCTGCATCTAACTATTGTATTGTTCTGTTTACCGTAAATATTCGCGTCTAGTGCACACTTTTTTAAGCTGAAACTGTCGTGTCAAAAAGGGGGTGCGCACTATACGCAGGTACATGCCATTCCTGGGGTTATCATTCCCGAGTTCTGCATCTGCCATATTGGATTACCTCCCTTCACATAGTTATATGTAAAAGTCGTCGGTCTTATATGATATTTTGGAGATAAAAACAACAAAAAAATAAAATGTTTTAATCATCTGCCATTCACGCTAGCAGTACGGTGAATCAAATTTTTTTTTCGTTTCCCGTCATTTTGATGTTGTATCTGTGGAATTCAATGAATCCGAAAGATTTTAGGCGATTTTCGTTCTGTTCATAAATCGGACAGCCCATCCCACCGATGCCCAAAGTTGGTGACCCCATGATCTCTCTTGATCTGCATGGCCCGCACGCGCAGTTCTGTTGTACTGGCAGCGATGCCAGGATATCGGCGATTGCATACAAAGTTGAACAGCTCTCTCTCTCTCCATCTCTGGGTGTTTCGCTGTCGCACCTATGTCAGCCCTTCTGGTCAGTGGTTGGGACTTTAAACGGTCTTTTCTTTCTTCCGTGCCTTGATATTTCACTCTGGAATGTCGAAGTGGCGACCGGCGGCACGAAACTCCAGTCTCTCGGTGTAGTCAAATGGCGTTCGCAGTTTCCCCATGTCGAAGTCGGTGTAAACAATCTATCATTAAATACCTTTGGATACCTCGGTGGGTACAGATACCATGAAAGATCATACCTATACTGAACAAACCACCTGCTTTTATGGGGACAAGGTAGGATTGAAAATGTTCAGACAGTTAAAACAACATCGTTTTCTGACCAATAGTACGCGTTCAGCCCAAGCCGGGTGTCATCAGTCTCGTCATACTCAACGTGTTAACTGTCATGAACCATTAATTATACAATCAGCCAAGCCTTTCATGCTTGGTAGGTCACCTGGGTAAATTTGTTTACTTAAGGTAATTACATGTGTTAGGGTCACGCTCATTGTGGTTTCCTAATTATCAATGGATCAGACCACATCAAATGTTTCGTCGCAGTGACCAGTCAATTAATTTTTCTGTAGATTTTTTTTTTTTTTAAAATCTGATCTCCAAAAAGTACCTGCGCACTATACGCGAGTGCGCACTATACGCGAATATTTACGGTACTACAATGAACACTGTATCTAACTATTGTATTGTTTTGTTTACTACAATGAACACTGCATCTAACTACTGTATTGTTCTGTTTACTACAATGAACACTGCATCTAACAATTGTATTGTTCTGTTTGCTACAATGAACACGGCATCTAACATTTGTATTGTTCTGTTTACTACAATGAACACTGCATCTAAATATTGTATTGTTCTGTTTACTACAATGAACACTGCATCTAACATTTGTATTGTTCTGTTTACTACAATGAACACTGCATCTAACATTTGTATTGTTCTGTTTACTACAATGAACACTGCATCTAAATATTGTATTGTTTTGTTCACCACAATGAACACTGCATCTAACTATTGTATTGTTCTGTTTTTTACAATGAACACTACATCTAACTATTGTATTGTTCTGTTTACTACAATGAACACTGCATCTAACAATTGTATTGTTCTGTTTACTACAATGAACACTGCATCTAACAATTGTATTGTTCTGTTTACTACAATGAACACGGCATCTAACATTTGTATTGTTCTGTTTACTACAATGAACACTGCATCTAAATATTGTATTGTTTTGTTCACCACAATGAACACTGCATCTAACTATTGTATTGTTCTGTTTTTTACAATGAACACTACATCTAACTATTGTATTGTTCTGTTTACTACAATGAACACTGCATCTAACATTTGTGTTATGTTCTGGTTGTGGCCATGTTGAGAACGTCTGACTTATCCTTATCGCTGCAAAAGTAAAACATTATGTGATACAACTTTATATAGTATCATTTAGTATCAACTCCTGTTACTCTCGTGTGCCAAATAAAAGTACGGGGCGGAATAAAAGTACAGGGGACATCTATTTATACCTCTGATGCTACAGGTCACCAGTTACGGGGGTTGGCAATGGAGTTTTCCTTGGGAAAGAACATTGATTTTTTTTCAACTGTGGCGCGGTAGGCGAAGCTCGCCTGCGAGCTGATTTTTTACAAGATTTTTCAAAAAACGTACAGACCCAAATAAACATTGTACAGGGCGGATTTTTTCCCAGAAAAAAATAAACGTATTTGGCACAAGAGAGTATGTACAAACATATTTTGTATGGTATTTTATGGCAATAAGGCCTTGCCTGGTAATAAGCCCACCCTTGAATATTGCTATTCAGTATGATTACATAATTAATATAATCTCTGGTCTTGTATGCTGATCACAAAATATGTACTTGTTTATATTATTGAATGAAATAATGTTAAACAGTTTAATTAATGCTGTTGTAATAAGCCCACCCCTTGATTTTGAATTAGAAGTGTTTAATTGGCCCCTGAGGTCCTGTGATAAGCTTACCCCTGACTCTGAGTCAAAGGTTGTGTGTTGATCCCCTGAAGTCCTGTGATAAGCCCACCTCCTGACTTTGAGTAAGAAGTATTGTGTTGGCCCATGAGGTCCTGTGTTCTTTCACTAATATCCAGATAAACATATATTTTTTTACTAGATATTGTTATTCTTAAAACTGTTGTGATCATATAACTAAAAAGGAATTGCCACCAAAGGTTCAGTGCTAGAAGAAAACGCTGTCATGTTATCGCTTTTTGACAGCTGTATATTTTTTATCAGTAATTGGTATTATAAGACTGGATTGTATTTTCATACTTTCAATACAAAGACCAATAGTAATTACATAGCTGTTGGTATTAACAGGCGTAAATATCTCAATAGACCACAAGTTACATTATGGCCATCAATACAGAGAAAAGTTGATACTGGTATTAACAAACTACCACATTATGATGTAATACACTTGATAAGATAAGGGGAGATAACAAATATTTAAAAAGTATATATACTTGAAACATTCAGTAACACAAGGACAGATAACATATATATATATATATATTTATATATATTCAGTAACACAAGGGGAGACAGCATTTTTTCAGTATTGTCCTCTATATAAGAAGACTATCAAATTGTTGGCACATTATTTTTTTGCAAGTCTTTTTGAAATTTTGTTGTTAATGACCAGAAAGAATTATTGAGTGTAGTGTTTAGTGTAGAACACTATGGATTTTTTATTTGGACTCAAGATTAAAAAAATATGTCGGATGTAGCCTGCTGTGACTGTCATTTATGATTCCTATGTCACGTCATACATCAGGAAAAATACGATAAAAGATGACTCTATTTGACTGGATCCTGAGGTTAATGTAAATAAATGATATAGAAGCCCAGAAATAAAAAAAGTTACAAGCATAATATAGCATGTTCTACAGAGTGTATGTCAGACTTAGGATCAGATATAAGACTGTAAAGTCTGGTTATGGCCTTAAGCAAAGTTTTCTCCAAGTTGTATGCAACTTACCAGATGTTTACAAAACTAACTTATTATCAGATGTACATAAGGTTGTTTATTACTTTATGATTTCAGTGATATGTCCTCTTTGTATTTACAGTGTACACATACTGAGTGGCAGTCATTTTCTACAGACCTTCCTTCACATGGTACAAGTATTTGTCAGCTATTGCCTCATGTTGGTGTTCATGACATACAATGCCTGGCTCTGTATAGCTGTCATTCTTGGAGCTGCTGCAGGCTACTTCCTGTTTGGCTGGCGCCGGTCAATTGTGGTGGATCTTAACGAACATTGCCATTAGCTTCCGGGAACAATCAATGCTTCCAAGTTGTGATTATAATTATCTATTGTTTTGACATTGTAGATTTTACTAAGAGAAAAATCTTTATGATGATGAAAATGTATCACAAGAAAGATACTTCAGAAATCATTTATGGTGTTTAATGGGAACAGATATGGGGTGAATCTGTGGGTCAGGGTTATTGATGATAAAAATGGGAAAGGAAAATGTGTTCATGATATAGTGAGGGTTTTAGTTTTGAACAAAGGGATGGATTGAAAGGATGAGTGTTAAATTGGTGATAATTTGTGACTGAGGGAGTGTTTTGTAGCGGCGGAATAGTTTTGTGTTGTTTTGTATAATATTTTAATCAAATATTTCAAATATCATAAGAGCCAGAATTAATGTAGTTTTGGTAGAAGATGTATCAGAATGTTATTGGAAACTAGACATTTGATGAGTTGCATTTGTTACAGGAAATGCTTCCTAGATATGTGATAGAGTGCAAGATTACATAGAAATGCATTGTTTAACAATGCTGAGGTACATTTCTTGAAAAATATATTTTTATGAAAAACCAAAACATGTAAAATAATATGATATTGCAAACACTTAGATTTTTATATTTGATTTCATCTTTTTGTTTTCTTCATGCTTTGAATTGCTATGTAGAACTCTGATATAAACAAACTTTCATGAAGCTTGTGGTGTCACCTCCAGTTTCAAGAATAAATGTGAATTATATGACAGGTTGTACTAAAAGTACAGATGATATATATAATGTACTGGTAACTTTAACCATGTAATTTACTTAATGTATAGTGACTACTTAAATTTACTGTCCTTCATACACTATTTTTTTTTTTTTTCAAGAAATGAAATAATTAACAAGTTGTACACATATCTCATTTAAATGACATATACTCAGTTTCTAATGTGCAGATACATTGTTAATGTCATCTATTCTCTGCCAATTGGATATTGATACTTAATACTGTATAGGTTTTCACTTGGATCACATCTTGTGTTCTTCAGTATTATATCAAGAGTTATGGCCCTTATAGATTTAAATTATACCAAATTTCCAAGGTTTGGGACAAATGTTAGGGAGTTTATGTCAAGTTCCAGAATAGGGTGAAAACAGATTACTATCAACTATAATTGTAGAATATATGGATGAAAAAAGTAGTTTCTGGAAAATATGTAAAGTGACACTGACAGGACACTGAGTTTTATCCACTGGCTATAAATGATGAGGAGATCTTGTGAAATATGCTTATATATTCTTGAAATTGATGATATTTTATTTGATCCAGAAATGATGAATTACGGAACATGAAACAGTATTTTTATTGTCATTGACTCACACAGCCTAAGACTTCTTCCAGTAGAGGAAAACCTTACCTGCTTCCAGGCGGACAATCCATTTAATGAAATAATGGAAATATTTCAAATTTATCAGAATCACTTGTACATTACACATTGACTTAGATTACTTGATATTCATTTACAAATTCACATTGTTTTCAAAAACAGCGATTTGCATGTAAAAGCAGGCAAAGATTCACAGAATTATTTGTATAGCTTTCAATGCAAGAATTGTATTAATGTACGCATTAGTGATGTTTAGTATTTTGTTTATATAAAAAGGATTCACTAGCGGTATATTTTTTTATTCACATTTTTGTATATTAAGCATTATGTTATTTCATCAACTATATGTTTGATATAGTTAGATGACATGTACATATAAATTGTTTTTTGTCTTTCCTTCAGAAATGTTCATTTTCATTTTTATTTCCACTTTGATTGATATGCAGCGAATTCTGCGAAGACTGACCTGATTAGCTCTCTCTAAAATGAACACAATATATTAGCACCAATTAAAAAAAAATTGGATTATACAGGTTCATTGTGTAACAGAATTAATGAGATACAACCAGCATGTGAGTTTGTTGTATCCTTCCCTAAACAGCTACACACACTCTCTCTCTCGAGCAATATATAACTGGAGTTTTCCATCATCTAACTAATAGTGGATATTCAGATAAGACAGCAGTTTTGAACATAAGTATCAACCTGCTGAAAATATTGATGGAGAAAATTTGGTATGATGCTTTATTTATATATTTATAATTTTATTTGTAAATTTTGGAGCAATACTACTTTAAGGTTGACTAGAATACGAGGAATTATATCCCTTGTATGTCAGTTGTATGTAACTTATTGAACTATTAATAGGAAAGTAGGCTCTACTTAAACAATTTTTTCTAGAGTTTTTAATTTCTTTAAACTCTGAAAAAAGTAGAAATTGTTACATTTTTGAAAAGCTGAAAATATTGCTTTGTTAGATGAAAGATTTTTGAAAAAAATTATCCATTCATCATAAACTTGAAAGAAATCTTTATCTCTTACTGAAATGTTTTTGATGCAGAAGAGTGTGAGTTCAGATTTCTGGTTTAAATCTTTATTGTCTGTTTTTACAAAGTGATTTCTCAAAAAAAAAAAAATGGTCATATGTTTGACAGTGAAGGAGATTGTAACAGGTTTCTAATACTATTTTATTACAGTATTGATGGGTGGAATCACGTCTTATCTGATGAATGCATTTGACATTTGGCTTCAAATGTAAATGATGTTACGTAAACACTATATAAGAGTATAATTAAACAGAATAAGCTGGTCATATTTACTGTATTTACACAGCAATAACCCTATGTCTCAACAATAACACATATATATATCACTTTCCTGTGTTCCTGCAATAAGCCCACCCTCTAATTTTGAGTCAAAGTTATGTGTTGAAGCCTGAGTTCCTGTGATAAGCTAGTCCCTGATTTTGAGTCAGAGGTAAAGTGTTGGCCCTTGAGGTCCTGTGATAAGCTTGTCCCTGACCTTGAGTCAGAGGTAATGTGTTGGCAGCTGAGGTCCTGTGATAAACCCAATCCCTGACTTCGTGTAAGAAGTAATGTGTTGGCCCCTGATGTCCTGTAATAAGCTATACCAACTCTGAGTCAAAGGTAAAGTGTTGACCCCTGGGCTTATTGCAGGATCAGTATGGTAATCACGGTTAGATTCACTTTGCATGCTCACTAAATAGAAAACTAACCAATTAATGAAATGTTCACTTAAACAATAGAGAGTGCTGGTGTTCATGGCGTTCTTGTGTATTTATGTTGCAAGAGGATCCACTTCAGTTAACTATGGATCTGCCTTTGAACATCGTATAACTATGTACAGATGTAGACAATAACTGCAACATGACAATACCAGTACATTGTTCTATTATAATATGTTGGACAACAACATGAGGATATTATTAATTTCAGTGCAATAGTTAATTTCTTTTGTCTCAGAAACACATAATTTTAACAATGTCTGATCCAATTACATTAGTTTAACGAATAAGTTATAACAGACACCAAGCTCCAGTAATACAAAATATGTAACATAGCCATTACTTTTGATAATGGAGGTTTCCGGTATTTTTTAATTGGTATGTAAAACCGAGGAACCAGTGGATGATCCTATATCACTTTCTATGTAATCTAAAGTATTTCTTTATATTTCATGATGGTGTAGCAGTACTCAGACGAGTTCCTCCCATGTTGTCAAAAGTATTTCTTTATATCTCATGATGGTGATAACATACTTAGACGAGTTCCTCAAATGATCAGTACACAGGTTTTATTGTAATGTCACTACCAAGCAGAAATAGTCACTGGGAATATTTAAGAACTTTACCATTATATTTCTGTATACAGATTTCTTCATTTATTGAAATGTTCATTCAACATGCCCGTTCCATTCCAGCGTTTTGAAATAACAGTTGTATCAGATTTCACCCTTGTCAGTCAACCATATGAGTTTTTTCAAAGATTCAGACAGTAATCATTTATGATGCTTTGTGTTTAGGCAAAACTTTTTCAAGCTTCTTAAAAGTTCATCAATTTAGACCAAGATGGTGCGGATAGTGTTATTTTTTGTTGTAATGTCTCCGGTACTTTCTAAAATTCTGTTATCTCAATTTTGGGTGAAGATATGAAATATAGAAGTATAATCCTGTTCTGATCATTCTCTTCGAAAATTGTTAGACTGGATTTATTTTTCTGAGAGTCCTTTGCTGTTGTATTCAAACTTTCAATCTTGTCCAGTTTTAAATTTCTCTCTTAAAAAAAACGGAGGAATTATTATAATAGCACCTGAAGTTCTGTTTTCTGACTGGCATTTTGATTGGAAAATTATCATAAAATATTGTTATATATCATATTTTCATGCATTTTGGTACAAAATTATACTTCACACACATATTACTCTTCCCTGTAGTTATACGGATTCTTCAATGTCACTGAAATCCAAACAGATACAGGACAAGACCATGCTGTTTACTTCGAAGTGTTTGATAATAGGCATCATATGTTTTAAGAATGGGATCATTTCTGAAACGATATTTTTTATTTATATTATTGATTTTAAAAGCTGTCCAATCAAAACTTGTTACTGGATAAACCAATCATAATACAAAGAAAGGTTTCCTTGTTGATGAGTGGGCATTCCTGTTTCACAAGACTCTTGATTTATAAGAAATAATTTCTTTTTACTGCTAAAAGTTAATTTTGTGTTAATAATTTTTTGTTTAATTTGTATGGTTCATGTTGCAGGATTTTGTTGATTATGTTATAACATATGTCTCATATATAAAATGAATATATTGAAACAGACCAAGCCTTTTTCTTACTGACATGTTGAGTTTACTACAAGGAAGTGATAGAGACTTCTGTACATACAAAAACTTTATATAAAACCTGTAAAACTTTTGAGAACTTTCATCTTAAAAACTTTAAATTGAAAGCATTCACTTTGAAGACTTCTAACTGAGCGTCTTGATATAAACCTGAAAGACTTTTGAGAACCTTCACCTTGGACTTTTAATTAATAGCCTTCACCTTAAAGACTTGTAATCTAGAGTTTCACCTTAGACTTTTAATTGAGTTTCACATTAAAGACTTTTAATTGAGAGCATTCACTTTGAAGACTTCTAACTGAGCGTCTTGATATAAAACTGTAAGACTTTTAAGATCCTTCACATTAAAGACTTAATCAAGAGCATTCACTATAAAGGCTTCAAACCGAGCGCCTTCACAGGGAATATTCCTGGACCAAATATACAAGGATGACCTAACAGTCACCCAACAAAAAAGACCTACAAAGGAACAGTATTAAGATATCAAAAGTATGGAATGGTTAGGACCGTCTCGGGATCATTACATCTTGATATCCCTGGTGCAAATTTAAAGTCTATTGTAAACAGCTCGGCTCAGATAAACCAAAACAATTATACAGGAAAGATGTTGATGGATGAAACATGATGGCTAGAGGTCAGATGACTTAAACAAACTTGTATATAAAGGGATCCATACAATACTAGGTGATTAAGAAAGGTGATAATGTATTTGTAAGAATCTAATCTTGACTTGTCAAAATATATCAGAGAGAGCACTTTACAAATAGATGTATACGCCAGATCTGGCATTTATCAACATGTCATAAATGAGGATTGAAGTTATGGACTTGACAAGATGCTATTCAGAGAAACAAAAAATTAAAAAATAACGAATAAGTTGTAGTCGTCTGGCTGTTTTCAGTGCAGAAAGGACTGTCGATTAGGCTCTTGGATAAATACATAAGACAAGTACATTTTCCATGTGTTTCGTTATAAACCAACATTAACACGAGGTAAAGGTTAATGTGACATTTTCAAATACCATGTTGATGAATAAACACAATGACAATGACAAATTAACTGAAAATTTTAATCTGTTATGAATGAGACTTTAAATTGTGTGTTGTGCATTAGCAGATCTGGTGGACCGATGTCTTGTCTACAGTAACATTTGTAGTATCTTCAACACAAAGTTTATCATCTATCACAGTTTTGGTGGTCTCATTGCACATCACATTTGACTCAGTTGATAAATTGAAGGGCGTTTTTGTCTCTTCACACAGAACATTACTCTCAGCTATCACATCAGAGTCGGCAAGCACGTTTAACTTGTCCCCAACTTGAGATTGGTCTTGTAATGGTGAACTAACCACTTCATCTTCAGAACCAGATGAACTACTGCTCGAATCAGAATCTGCAACATTACAATTTAATAAAGAACTTGCTTTAGAATTTAAGTACAAAGAACCTTGTCAATCATCACAATCATAATTATGGTTATTCATGAAATCTGTTTGTACTGGAAACCATTTCTGCAGTCTATAAAAATAGATTCTGAATCCACTTTTACATGATAAGGATGCCATTGTGATTCTTTCCACCTCTTCATCTTATCAGGATTACTTCTCAGATGAAATACAATGTCACATTGGCCTGATAAATCAAGCAGGGACTGAACTGATCAGTCAGCATACTTAAACAAGTTCTGACTACACACGTGGCAAAGAGTGATATTTAAAGATGGTGATTAATCTACAATTTATTTTTTGTCTTTATTGTTAAAGAACAATGGGTCCCACAATGTTTGATTGAAGTTCTTTGAGTCCCAAAATTCTACAAGTACAAGACTCCGGACTTGTGTGCAGATTAATCACTTAGAGAGTACAAAGTAGCATGTGAAGAAAAATCCAACCAGCTTTAATTTTATCTGTTTTAAAGATCCAAGGAGCCTATGACCTTCTTCCTTTAAAGACCTTTAAAAACAAGGTCACTTTGTTAACAATATTCTCAACCGGGCCACCTAATCTAACTGATTCAAATTAACAGTCACAAAGTCAAATGTGTTGAAATACAAACAACTTCTTAAAGAGTATAGAGGCACAGAAGCACGCTAAGATGTCCGGCTAAAGTGTTTGATTAAAATGATGACATTAAGTTGACATTTTATCAAGTTTAAACATGGAAAGATCTAAACAATCTTCTTTGACAATAAAAAGGTCAACTGTTCTGAGTCAGTGATATTTTCCTCAGGCACCATGAGAACAAATTCATTTGGGGTTTGACATCATTGAAACAGCTAAGATCATATGAAGGGGATACCCATGGATGATGGGTATTAGTAATCTCATATAAAATTATAGCAGGTGATATTCTGATTCAAAAGCAATTCAACACTTGCACAAAAATCACACTGTTGATCATTACTAATCCCCTGGATCTGACAGTTTTGTATTTTTTAAGATTAATTAGTCCAAGGAGAGTAGATATTAAGCAGAGGTCAAGTTATTCTATTGAAATGATTTTTTTTACATCCAGTAACATGGCCCTGACTAAACTAGTGAATCCCCCCTGCTCCTCCCGCCGAGTGATTGTGACCTTCTTTTGCTACATGACTCTTCTAACCAAGGCGACCCCATAACTCAAGTATGACATAGATCTATTTACCAAGATATTTTGATTTTTGGTCGAGTCAAATGTTTTATGTGCATCTTTATACTCTCTATACAGTGTTTAACAATTTTCATTAAACTAAGGTTTATATTCACGATGCTGTAATTTGACACTCCCTTTACTCTACCACCACTTACCTTGGACATTGTCTAGAACACCGAGACCTTGACACTGGTTCTACACCACGACTTAACAGAGACTGTGTTTAGGACTTGAGACCTTGACACAGGTTCTCCACCATCACTTACCTGAGACAGTGCTTAGGACACAGAGACCTTGACACTGGTTCTCCACCACTACTTACCTGAGACAGTGTTTAGGACACTGAGACCTTGACATTGGTTCTCCACCACTACTTACCCGAGACAGTGTTTAGGACACTATAGCTGTCACAGTGATCCTTCAGAACCACATGAATGATTGGGTATTCCACTATACACTTCCCCACCAGATTTTTCTGTAATGTCTTCTCCAGGCAAAGCTCATAGAACCTGCAAACCAGGCAATAAATGACAAAAGTAACAAGTGAAAATCTCTGTTGTATGATCTTTTATGAATTTTCTTGAAGCATCCTTTTGAAAATTTTAACAAAGGAAATCTACTTTCTTTCATGTTTGTTCTTGGCCTAAAAATTGACAATGTTGAGATACACCATTTAATAATTCAACACCTCAGTAAAAGATGGAAGTGTTCCCACTTTGCCTTATGAACATCGCTCTTGTATATTTGTAAGTATCAGTAAGGAACACCACACCTTCTACATTGTTTCCTCACTAGACCTTTCTATATTTAACACTTATTGTATCTACTCATTCATTATCATGCCTGTCTCTGATTCAAGCACTGACATTATACTAAAGACAAGTTGTGAGGCACCAGATCAGAAACTTTACATACATGACATCATTGGCTGGTCTCTCTTCCACTTTCATAAACAGTCGACAGTTATGCAGCCCCTTTTGGCAGTAAGCTTTGAGGGCATGTTGTTTGATGGGGTCAGATTCTGTGGGGTGGACAAAATCCTTCAGCAGTTCCTCCATAGACAGGTGCTCTGATAACCTGGAACAGTTACAAAAGTCAGAGTATGTGGCTTCTCCACAGCGTGTACCGTTCAATCACATGGATACACACCGTACAATTCTATAGTAATAATTTTTAATGACTCTTTATATTTTCTCAAAATGTTTAAATATGTTATAAAAAATTCCATGTAGATGACCATGAAAAATACAGCTGATCTATCACTACCACCACAACATATAGAAAAACTGTCAAAACCATTAAAAGTTTGAAAATCTTCAGCCTGTTTAAGCTTACATTAACAGTAGTTTCTGAACTGAAAATGGAAATCTGCATTATCATTTGATCTAGACGAACCAACAGGAGTTTTACCTTTTTGATGTATATTTGGCTTCAGATTGTGGAAACAACCACTGAACATTCCATAATATGGTCTTTAACCTGTAAAACAAAAACAAAATAGTTTGACCTACTTAAATCTTCACCATCACACATAAAGGTGTGAGAGAGTTTGTCGCATAGTCATCAAACAAAAGAAATTGTAGCAATTATGCCCTGGTTGTTAAACCTATTTTACGATTCTAGTAAAATTTGACAATGAAAATATTCTAGGATCAAGTGTATTTCCTTTGAATTTGTATACCAAGTATCAAATCAGTAGGTGAACTTTGAACCGTCCATGTTTACAAGAAATACTTACCTTTATAAAAAAATATTTTGATAATTATAGTACAATAAATTAATTGCCTTTTAAAATAAAGGACATTATGGACATGCAATGAAATCTTAACACAAATGTATCAGTGATATTGAATTTTAACCGTAGCATGCATTTACTTGAATGTATATGTTTACAAGTTCAAATTTTTAGTTGTACATCATGATGCCTTTATTCTGTCTTTAGGAGTGTGTTTTCAAAGAGCATATTATTTATTTTCGGCCATAATACTGTTCTTCAATTTAAATTAAGTAATTAACCTGTTTAGTAAATATCTGATGTGACTGAGAATCCCAGGCTGACACAATTTTGTATCAATATGAAACTTACTTGTGGTGGTACATAGTCAGGTTGTGCTTTCGCCTTGCCATTGGATAAGGCATAATCTTCAACTTTATCCCTCTTTTCCTGGCTTCTTTAACTAACGTGACTAGCTAAATAACAGAAAAGGAGAGAGAGCAAAATTATTTGAGAAGAGACCGTGTCTTTCTCCTTTGTTTTAATCTCTTTTTTTATATACCTTTTCATTGGAAGTCACTTTGAACAAACCTGTTATTGATCAATACAATACATGTACATGACGATTAAGGATTGTTTGTGGCAATTTTACAATGCACCAGTAATCAAACCTGGGAATTCTAGATCTCATTTCATATGACACTAGAGGTATATTGTACAAAAAGAAAATACTTCAAAGATTTCTTACTTCAGAAATAATAAGGTATAGGAGCAAGGAGCAGCCTTATAAGATAAACACAGAATATTTCATCAATTGTGAAAAGATGTTCTATTACTGTTTTCCCTGGATCTGATCAATTCTACGACATAATCAATCTACATTAACTTACAAAGTTGGGTTTGTTACTTCTCTGTTTAAGCGGGTCTCTTTGTGTACTATCTACTTTTCTGTTGGTTTCTTCTAAGAATCTGTAATCTGAAAAAAACAATCACAATGAAACCGAAATATGATACAGGGTAAGAGTTATCTTTCTTTAACAATCCTTGTGTAAGTTCCAGTGCAAATTAAACTTTATAAAATTACAAGTACTTGCATATGAGATACATTTTTCCATTTCCTTTTTTCAACAAACCATTTAGAAGATTTCTGTCTGAATATTCTTTTATTGCGACAAACTCTGTCTTCTTGCGTTGTCCATTACAGCCCTTGTCTGCTTTGTGGCGTTTGACACATGGAAGTGAGCAGGTCTGGGCCATACATCCAGGACACTTGTACTTTGCTATATTCGCTGAACAAATTTCACACTTCCTGTAATAAACAAAAGTATTTACAATTAATAGACTTCCTGGAGAGAAGAGATTGCCACTTGCCACAACACACCTAACAAACATAACTCTAGCTGATGTTCTGAGATCTCGGAAAGCTGTATTTACAGGCTGTGGTCGTCTTGTAAATTTAAGTGAGTCCTGGACTGAAATATCAGTGTTCCAAAAATCAACGACAATGACACGTTATGGTAAGCTTTTCCAAATGTCTATCACATGAAAACTAAAGAAATTCTTTGGTATCAGACCATTACCAAGACAAAAAATGAGATCATGGATAAATTGTCAGAGCCCTTTGGACCGAATATCTAATTGTGGCCATTTCATGAAGCTGAAGCATATGAACAATTGACCAAATGAGCGTCACTTCTCACTGGTTGATAAAATGACTCTGGTCAGTGCTAAGTCAACACTAATTGCAGTCTACAAGTGAATGAGGCCCAGGAACATTATGTACAAGGATTAGATGACTGCAGAGCATGGGAGCTTTGATGACTTCAGCGAACAAACACAAAAGCTAACAACAAATAAGGCTCTAATTTGTCTAGTTTCCAGTCCCTGCATTATACATCCTTGTCCTAACCCTGAAGACAAGAAGTATGCATAAGGCAATTTTATTTTGATGATTTCTAACTAGTAATGTCATTCCTGTTCTAATCATTGCTGTTCTTTGTAAATTCTGTGCACTTCTGATCCAATATAGATAGGCAGACTCAAGCATCTCTACGGCTTCTTTCATAAAACCAAGCTGAAACTTTCCAGGTGGCATAGAATTCTAAAGCTTAAAATGCAGTTTCAGAATTTCTTGTCAAACATGATATAATGTTATGGTATATGTATATTGAGGAAAAGTATGTGTGAGCATTGACCCTGCATCATGCAAAAAATGATATTGTTGTGGACTTATAGAGACAAATGCCAGAAATGATTGTCTGGCATCTGGTTCCCTGTCAAATTGGTTCTATCAGACAGAGACAACAGCAAGCTCCCCAGTGCTAGAGGCCTGCTATTTATCCAGGTGGTGACCTGCTGTTGATACTTCAGAACATGTGAACCCACAACAGCATTCAGCAAGTCATCTCAAGCTGCACTTGCTGAATACTCTGCACTCCAATCTCACTCCCAATCTATGCCCTGTTTTTCTCTTCCAGATTTAGCCATTATATCTGTTTCAACCATTTATGCGAAAGCAACCTCTGATTTAGTGATAACACTAAAAAACAAAAGTGCTATCACTGAAATCCATATGACCCATCATTTCAGATGTATCTGATAATTTTTGGAGGAAGCATGGAATAAATCTTACAGTATGAATGCATTTCAACAGACTCACCTGACAAGTGCTAGATCATAAAACATAGATTTTTTGCTCTGTTAATCTGAATACTCGTCAATTACTTAAAATAGTGTTGTGTAATCTTAGGAGAGACATGTAATAAACATTTATAGCCATATCAAATCACATATAATTGCTGTAATGTTTTTATCAGTAGGTTAAACGCCACTGATGTAATGGTAGATAATGATGGAAGTCAAAATCTATGATCGAACACCCCATTAAAATATCAAATATTCACTGTGTGATGTTGTTCTATTTAGTGATATTCAAACCTCTCCTACACAAAAATCTCTAGAGACCAGTTTCCTGGTTAATATTTTGCCATTTTTGGTGAAAATACAAGAGATAAATAAATTTTTATTACATTGATCAACCCCTGAAATCACCGATCAGCATATCAGTTTCTATGGAGGATGATAATGACAAATGTTTTTGGTTTGTACCTCTGATGCAATATTGTTCCTTTAAGTGAGATCTTTTTCTATGAATATTTCAGAAAAATACAAAAACTGAAGTATGGAAACTTTTCACAAACTCATGTTTAATTTGACTTGTCATACGCAGTAGGTTTGACTGCACAATTGTCTGTTTGAATTCAAATGAATATGGACATAGTTTTAGAGCTTTTCTTATGGGTAGGAAAGTGCCTTCATCCCATCCCATAATTATCATGCATCATGAGTGGGCAAATTTGTAGTTTTGTGTAATATAATATTTTAAGAAACTAAAATGGGGAAAACCACAAAATTACAAACTATCCTATTTTACGCCAGTCAAGATATGTATTCGTCACTGAAATTGACCAAAACCATTTAAAACTTAGCTTTTTCATTTTTTGACCAAACTCATTTATTTTGTTAGGAAACATCATACAACTGCGAAAAATGAAATTTATTTGCATAAGGAAAAGTACCGAAAATAGATGCAATGCTTCCGGCCTATATATTACGACAGTACAGTTGATTTGTAGTAGTCAGCACTTTCAGCAAAACAATATTCATGTGACACGTAACGTTAAAAGCGATTTTGGCTTTTTAGCAACAAATCCTTACTCTAAAACTAGCGTATAATATACTAGTTTACGTATAATACAAATTAAGTGTTTCCCTAGATCTGTGAGTGTTAGAGCACTTCTATCTTCGAGCACTGGTCATGTTTGTAAATCTGCATGTACCTACATAACTACCGATGCGTAAATAATTCTTCACTAATTTGCGAAAGACACTGCTGATCTGTTCTCATGTTACGTCTGAATTCTTTCCCCCTATGATCCCATCCAAATACATGTTTACAACAGAGACATTCACACGTAGGTAACATTTCCTATGTCGTGAAACATCAAATCACTTATCAAGGTGAAGCTAAAATGGATATTCAGAATCTACACATAAGTCCAATGTTCTATTAATGAGAATTTGAATGAACTATTTCATAATGACTATTGGCAGAATATCAGACTCTGGGATCTACTTGCTTCATTTTGTTTCGTCTGTTCGTGGCTTCTCGCAGGTTTGTTTTCCTCTCGCCATGTGCTTCTCGTTTTTGATGACGTAAAGGACATATATCAATGACGTAGGGGCACCTGTCTCTCCCGGATTTCTCTGCGTTTTACGTAATGGCTGTGTTTAACGATGTCGAAGGTTAAGGTAAACGCCCAAGAGACTACGATATTGCTACAGCAGAAGACATTTGCGCGCGAGCGATGGGATGCTGTCAGCTGTCAACTGACGATATTGACTGAGATCCCAGGGCCAGCTTAGCCAGTATTGGCTCCACTGAGTAGAGCAATAGAGATTTCTACCAAATTGTATTTCATCAATACACTGTGGCTTTTTATTCATGTACATTGTGTGTTCCGTTTTATTGCCGACTGAGGGTACACCATTTCATTCTTAGATTATTGACCTGTGCATGCTGCTAGGCGAACATTAGCTTCTGTCATAGACAACTCGTTTAGATACCTACCGGGCCAAACAAAAACTAGGAATGGACTCAGAAAAAAAGCTTCATCTGTTTAATGGACAGTCATGATCACGTGTCGCTAAAACCTCAAGCTTGATGTAAAGAGGTCCTACAGTTATATAGTCTATTGCACTTGACATTACAAAGGAGTGGAAGTTGAGAGACAAACTATGAAAACTAGTCAAGTGACAGTTTTGTTTATTATGATAATAGGCCAGCTGACATTTTGTCAGAAAGTATTGAAACCAAAGAATTTGACAATTGGTGGGATATTTCCAATGTCTGGAAGTTGGGCTGGAGGTATAGGATGTCTTCCTGCGATAGAAATGGCCCTTGAAGATGTGAACAAGCGTATGGACATCCTGGAGGAATACCACCTTCACATGCAGTCTGATGATAGCGAGGTAAACATTGGCCTCCTTAAATGAGTGGCATACTTGTGTTGCTGAAGTTAGTGTTATGCTTTTCTTGAATCAAATTGCTACTATGTGTTGTGATGATGGCTGAAATTGACAGTAACTAAGCCCAAATAATGAAAAGGTTCATATATTTGCATTTAACAGTTATAATGAAATTATCAGGTAATATGTTTTTAGTTCTAACTACGATGATTGTTTTAAAAACTTGTAATAGACTTCCTGCATGTGTAAAAGTTGTAGAGATATATCAAATAATACTGAAATTAAAACAGTGGGGAAAAGGAAAGAACTGATCTTGTGATAAATTCATTTAATAAGTGAGTCTAGAATGAAAAATCTTAATTAAAAAATGTAATAAATCTGCAAAAGTTTAATTATTATGAACTATCACAGCAAACATGAAGAACCAACAGTTTTGAAGTTTAATGAAGAAAAAGTGTTGGTGACATAGATGTTGCGTGCAAATATATAATTATAGCTGAAATATCTATTTATATTTAAAGGCACTTCAAATGTAACACTTTGTTGGTGTTGAAAGACCTATATATATACTATAACATGATAGAAATACCAAAATTTTAAGACAGGATTGTGAATTTCTACTATCCATTTTCCATACAGGCTTGTGGATTATGACACAAGCAATGGAAAGTTTTCAATTTCTATGACAGGTAGAGATTAGTGAACCCTGAATGTTAGTTAACACCATTTCAAGAACCAAATATGCATTACCATCATTCACATTTATATAACCAATTTTGGTATTTGATTTTTTTTTATAAGATCTGCTGTTGGCTTTTATTGAAAACAGTGAGCAAGTCAGTATGAACTGTTAGGTTTATCAATAATTAAAACTTCAAAATGTCAGCAGATAGAAAATGTGATTACAAAGATGGTTTAACCAATTCATCTTTCATATTTTTTTCTGACAATATTATATCCAGCACCTGTATCTTTTTAAATCAAGTTTTGATGACTGTTAAACATTGCTCATGAAGGATCTTGGATTTACAGCTTATCAAAAAAAAAAATTAAATACTTGATCTGTTTCCATTATACTTGTGATGTAGGCTAATAGGAAAGCTTTTCAATCAACTTCTACCCAAATAAAGTTAACTATGTAGATAGTCATTTAGGAATCTTAAAGTCTTTAGTCTATGTATTAAAGAATGCTTGTAATGTTAAATTAAAACAACAAAAAAATATGTGTGGTCCAGGTGGCTGTTTTCATTATCTTTTCATATTTTGTGGTTGGACTGTGAGAAGAACATACCTCCAGTATATTATCTGTTATACTGGTTTCGTTAAACTGGAATCACCCCATCTTGAAGTCTGCAAATATTGTCTGGACAACCTCTCCTAGAGTTGTGAAGCAGTTTTGATGAGACTTTTACAGGAATATTCAGGGCCATGATTAGGTAGATATGCATGAGATTTTTTTTTTTTTCACTAAAGTTTTTGGTTGCCACGGCAACTTGCTCGGCCATCAGAAACTAGATTTCTTTTGAGGAGCCATTGCCTCGGCCCAACGATCAATTTTATTCAATCTTGGTCAAATGATGCAACTAAACAAAGTCTATGATTTGACATGTTAGGTGTTTCCAAATCATTTTTTATGAACAACTGAATGAAGGGTTCTGTTTGCTCTAAACTGGGATGTTTCTCATTTATAATCAGTACATAAGGGTTTTGATGGATGACAAATGGTATCTGTATTAAAAAATGATTGGTTGCCATTTATTTGTCATTTTAAGCAAATGATATGTAAACTGTTTACACCTGCAGGATCTTCCAGGTGATAGTCTTAGTTTTTTCTAAGTGGTTTTATTGATATACATGTCAATATTATAGCTAGGTGGCAGTACAGATCTTCACAGTATTGCAGATGTTGATATAAATCCCAGCTTATTGGAAGCATAATTATGTCTCAATTGTGTGGATTTTGAAGATATAGATTGAAATAAACCAAGCAAGAAGAAAGTGTCTGGTAGAAGTGATTTACAAATGTGTCCGACTGATTGACCTTAATTCAACCATGTCTGCTTGATTGGTAGATTAGGCACTTAGTTGGATGGTTTAATGGCTGTTGTGCCAACACCACAAAGTTGAATCTGTGGTCAAAATAACATTACCAGTACCAGTCACACACATCACACAGGCAAAATTGGAAAACTCTTCCACCAGTATGACCGGTTGAAATGAACTTACTGACCAGGACAGTTAGTTGAGACAAAATCCTAAATCGTAATTCTGTGTGGATGCTGAAAAAGAGGAAATGATGCATTTTGGTAATAGGATCAGTCGGATGCCACATTAACCTTGGTCTTCCCAAACTGACACACTGGTCACTTTATTGATTCATCGATTGTAGGTACAGATGCTGGCTTGGTCAATGAAGTAATGGATGAGGTTAAAACAGTGTGGCCTTGCAATGTACAATCAAGCTTAGCTAGTTAATGAGACCTCCTTCTGTGTATCAGATTTAAGGTTGAAAATTCCTATTGCACTGCCTACTTACAAGAAGTTTGTGTTGTTGTTTTATTCCTTTACCTATGTACACAGAATTTTTATTTGTTTCCTATTCATGAACTCAGACTTGAGATGCCAAACTTAAGTTTAGAATGTCAGATACAGATCTCAAGGTCAGCCATGGTTACAAAAGAGCCAAAGACATATCACATTTTTATGGTAGTGTTTGTGCAAATTACATTTTCCAAAGAGCTGCTCTTTACTTTTTCAGCAAGTCATTCCTAGATCTTGTCCCTTTAGGTCAAGGTCACAGCAATCATATATAGAATAAACAGGATTTTTCAGCTGTATGCTAAGCAAGGATACAGTGTGACAAAATGATATCAAGATCATAATGAGAACATGTTGAATTTGTGATTCAGGATTTTGCATTTATAAGTCTGGTACACAGACCCATTCCCAATTGAAAACTGACACTGTATTTTCCCAATTTTTGGTCTGCATTCACCCGATAGGGGTTTAAACATTGAATTCCCAGTCATTACCTTGTTATGTTTGCTATATGTGTTCTACTTAATAGAGGATGAAAGAAATCCACTGCAATATAACTTAACAACCTTTAAAACGAACAACAAAATAAAGGAATTAAGCAGCTTTATTTTATTATGTTCCGGCAGAATGGAAGAAAGATGGGGGCTCAGGGTAGGAGACATTAATTCAGATGGGCTTTTCCAGACATAGAGAGAATTAAAAATACATAAATTTCCATGTTAAGCATGAAAAAAGATACTTATATAGTTCTCCTATTGTTAATCCTTGATTTATATTCTATTTGAGATAACAGGACAGATGTAATTGGTGAAAAACATCTCACTTTATGGAATAGCAAATGTGAAATATCTTATTAATAAATGGACAGGTGGCTTGACCCAGTTATCCAGAATTTACAAAAGATATTAAAAATCAAAGAGGTTGTTCACATGAATTGAAAAATAATTGTTTTCGTCACTAATATTATTGTCTAATGTTAAATTATATGCTTGTAATTTTTCTAGTGTTCTTATTTTCTTTTAATTTTTTTTTTACAGTTTTTTTTTCTTTTCTTTTCTTCTTATTGTTGGATTAACTTTGTTAACTATAGTTTTAATGCAGTGAAATAATAAAGTATATGAATACAATTCCTTTTCTGCATTTTTTCCCAATTAAAAAAAAACCAGGTATCTGTGAAATGATGCTAAAAAAACCACTGCTTTAAGGACATAAAAGACAAGAAAATAAACATTGATTCTAAAATTATCCTAAAACTAACAGCTCATTTTAATTATGATTGTTTAGATTGATGAAACATCTAAGCATTTTTTATATTTATTTATTTATTAAAACTGTTTATTTTTCTTTTTATCATTTTTATTTCAGTTTTTAGTTATTTCCCAAAATTGATAAAATGCTGATGATATTTTCCCAATTTGTGAAAAATGCTGACGATTATTTCCTGATTTTCTGAAAGGTCCTGTTGATTCATTAACTGTTGTATACTTTTTACCTCGGTAGAAATCAGCTTTACACTGGTCATTTGCCTAATGAAGATATCACTCATAATGTTCTGTCAGGTTATGATCAAAGAACTTTAATTTTGTATTTACCAATATTATAAAAATATTACAGCAATCATGCAAAGTAGTTTGTATAATTTCATTATAAATTTTTAATGTTACTATAAATGATATATGTTTTCATAGGGCTCAAATTATGTGGTTTTTCAAAAATATACATTTTCATTGGCGTTTAATATTATGGATAAATCTTGATGACAAAATTCACTATTTCTATAATCCATGTCAACATATATCTGTATATCATTCATAGACAGAAACATTCATAGCTTTAGAATATTGACAAATTCACTGAGAAAAAAAACCCCGAAAAACATAAAAATTAGCAATTTTATGGTTGTATGCTCTGCTTTATATAAATATCAGAACCCTCGGATCATTTTCCATGAGCAAATTCATGAAAATTTGTGGTTTGAAATTGAAGTGACATTCTGTTGGAAAAGTTAAGTTTCTAGATTGATGAAAAACAAATGGGTATAATTACCTATGTGTAATTCAAACATTAACCCTGAATATATCCCAATAAACAGCTTTTCTCTAGACCCATCAATTAAAAGATAATTGTAAAGATTTAATGAATAATTAAGAGATAATGAATATAACTGAGGAAGAGTTCAGTTTAAAACTTGTTCAATCTAAGGAGCAGTTTTTACCATCCATACCTGATAGAGGCTTTTTGGTTGCAATCGATCACTGACACAACTATATGAATATTGCCAGGACAAGAAATCCCAAGGGGGTTTGGGTACCATAGACCAACACAAAGTTTATATGCTGCTGTATTTCATATCCTCGATTAATTATGTTTCTGGGCCTGACATTTTCAGTGTAGAAGGTCTGATGAAAGAGATTGAAAAAAATAAGCTGTTCAGTAGAAACCGATAAAATCACGTTAGTATTTGA